ATAGTCTTTATTTTTACTGTAATATCAATCATGTCCCTGGGGATAATGACAATACTGTGGCATCATCACTTGGCTCTGAAGCTCAGGGTTTCTGGCTATTTAATTGAGTTAAAACATAATGTCAGTTGGAAGTGCCAAGTGTCATTATAAATAGAGCCCTGATTGTTTGAAATATCCACCTGGCAATCAAGCTGCTGTAACTCACTCTGTTGTGTGAGCGTGTGGGAAAAACTCCCCCAAATTTCAAACCCACTTGTAATCAATGAAGAAAGTGAAGTCAGATGTAGTAGTCAATGGGAGTGATACTATATATCACACACATGCACTCATATGTATGTATGTATGTATATATGAGTGAGTATATACACACACACAGTTACATCAAATCACAGTTACATATATATGTTGTATACACACACACACACACACATTATTATGGAACTACTGTTTGTGATTTGATGCAACTGAGAAAAGAGTAGTTTTGTTAGGAACAGAGGCAAAATTACATCTGAAAGGAAGCCCATCACTCTCAATTATTTTATGTTAATGAGCCAGATCCTCAGAGTATATTAGTTCCATCCCATTGCCTTCAGTAAAACTACATTTGAGCATCTGTGCCTGTATAAGGAAGGCATCAGCCAGGCAAGTAGTCAAAGGAAAATGGGAGTTGAGGGAAAAATCCTGGTCTTTTCAAATCAATGCACTCCCCTTGAGTGCAATACAGTAGGTCTAGAATGTCAGTCCAATGGATCCAGTGGACTTGCAACATGACCTTTAGTAAATTACTTCACCTTGTCCCAATCAGTAGAAATGGTGATGATGCTCGGATTTTGAAGCACCTTTAATCCTCAGAATATTTGTTCATAACTAATTAAGACACCATAAGGGCTGAGATGATGCATCAAGGAGCAACAGATCTCCAACTTCCTGCCCCTTGTAGACTCTTCCAAGCTGCAAGAGGTCGGAGGAAATAGAACTGCTGCATCTTTTATCTTTTATAGGAGTTATAGATTGAAAGACCTAACAAATTACTGAGTCCCAAAGAACCCTAAGAGTTCTTCAGAGACCTAAAAGGCTGTCTGGTCCCATGGTGATGGTGATGGCTGATATATTTCCCCACAATCTCTGCAGGAAGTAAAAGAAAACACTGTTGAAAACATGTTGCCAACTGACGTAGAATGATCCATTAATCAGGACTGAATGCTGGGAGTCTATCCTTATCCTGCCGTTTAGGATTTCAGTCATTTTAACTTTACCATCTAATAAATAAATAATATCTACAGTTGCTACAGCATGTTTACAAAGCAATTTACCAGCAGGAGTTTAATCACTACAGCATAGTTTCAAGGTAGCTAATGGTAAATATTAGCTGTGCTTTACAGATGACAACATTGAGGCTGAGGGATTAGCTAAATCATCCAAAACCAGAGAATGGACACTTGTCATAGATTTCATAGACATTAGGGCTGAAAGGGACCTTGAGAGATTCATAGATTCATAGATTGTTAGGGGCTGGGAGGTACCTTGTAAATCATTGGGTCCAGTCCCCCTGTACTAGGCAGGAAAAGACAACTGGGGTCAAGTGACCCCAGCAAGGTGACTGTCCCGTCTCCTTTTGAAGATTTCCAGGGTAGGTGACTGCATCAACACTGGGGGGAGTTTACCCCACAGTCTGGACACCCTGCCTGTGAAGGAGTTTTTCCTGGAATTAAGCCTGAAGCGGACTTCCGGGAGTTTGCTCCTGGTCTTCCCCAGGGGTGTCCTGGTGAACAGCTGTTCACCAAGTTCTTGATGTACTCCCCTGATGTAGCAGTAAGCCACTACCAAATCCCCTCTCAGCCTTCTCTTCTGTAGGCTGAAGAGGCCCAAGTCCCTCAGCCTCTCCTCGCATGGCTTGTCTTGCAAATGCCTGATGATACAGGTGACTTTTCTCTGGACCCTCTCAAGTTTTTCCATGTCCTTGTCAAAGTGAGGTGCCCAGAACTGGACGCAGTACTCCAACTGCGGTCTCACCAGTGCAGAGTACAGTGGAAGTATCACTTCCTTAGTTTTGCATGAGATGCAATGGTTAATGCATGCCAGCATGTTGTTTTCCCTGTTGGCCACAGCATCGCACTGCCATCTCATGTTCATGTGATGGTCAATCACTACCCCTAGGTCCCTTTTGGCTGTGGTGCATGTCAAATTGTCGCCACCGAGCCTGTAGGTATGTTGGGGATTGCTTGCCCTCAGATGGAGCACCTTACACTTCTGAGTGTTGAACTTCATCTGGTTCCGGTTTGCCCAACTCTCCAGCCTGCCCAGGTCTGCCTGTATCAGCAACCTATCTTCTGGCATGACCCCACACCCCCATAACTTGGTGTCCTCCGCAAACTTGATCAGTGAGCTTTTCACCCCCACATCCAAATCATTGATAAAGATCATCAGATCCAGCCCCCTACCCTAGGGGCAGGAAGTCAGCTGAGGTCAGATCACCCCAGCAAGATAACCATCCAAGCTGGGATTAAAACTGTACCTTCATCAGTGGCAGGTATCACATAAAAATGATGATACATGGTTCACATAGGCCAAGAGGTCAAGTTAAAATTTTAGCAGTCACCATGAATAACAATTGGAACAGGCTGTCATGGGAAGTGGTAGATTCTCCATTTCTTCACTTCTTTGAAACAAGATTGGATAACTCTTCTGGAAGATACTCCAACCAAAACAAGTTACTGGGTTCAATGCAGGAATAACTGGATGCTATTCTTCTGTGGCTTGTGTTACACAAGAATGGCACTGGTCATATTTTTGATTCACTGGGGATTAGTGGAGTGCAGTGCATTATTCCTTCCAGATCCAAATGGCCCCATAGTATCAGAAGGTAGGTGATACTGATGAGGACCAAGAAGGGCTACATAAACATGTAACATTGGCTTTATGCCAGCCCAGGATTCTGCCCACAAGATAATCCTCAGCTGCTTCTTAAGTCAGCAACAATAAGGAAAGTTTTCCCCTTTCTAGCAATTCACATGGACTTTTGTGCTTGATAATAATATTGAGTAGCTCAGAGGCTATTCATATGGCAGAAGAAACTGAAAGCATGATTGAGAATTGCCCATATGAAATAACAAAAAAAACACCCATAACTTATTGGTTGGCACATAGTACTGTATTATATTTGCAATAATGGGAGATATATAGTACCATTGACTGCTATGTGCCTGCTGTTCTCTGGATCTACAGTAATTCCTATGTAAAACCCTGCTCCAGCTACCTTACCTGACTCCTCACCTCCCAGAACATACTATAATGTTTCAGTTTTGACTTATGTGAAAAATGTCAATGACATATAAGTGAACAGCCATGTGGGATATTTGTACTGCTTGACTGTAGTATCACACCAAGCTTCTTTATGGCTAAAGTATTAACATTACACACATTCCAGTCCAACCACATGTGTTATCCAGGGAGAGATCTTTCAAGATTTTGCCAGGCATAAGCTTTATAAATGTGATGCTGCTGTGGACATTATGGCCAATAGCCATTTACATGGTTTTTTAAATCTGCATTAAATCCATGGAATTATACTGGATTTACCTGAGCAAAATTAGACCTGTAATGCCTTAATGCAGACTGCAGTTGCAATTTTATGCCAAGTTTTCAAAGTATGAAGACCTCCATTGCAGTAAATCAGCACTAGGGGTGTTGATTTACACCCCCTGAGGAATTGGCCCTTCTACTTTAATATAGTGTCCCTGAATGATGCTTTTGTTAAAGGGATTTTATCCTTTGTAATAAAGAGCCCTACTTTCAGTGTATTTATGATTAATGTTTCAAACTTCACTTTTTGATGCTAGTTTCTATAGAAGCATCATACCAGTTGGGATTTCTTTTGTCAGTTAAACTACTTACTGTGTATGGGTTTCACTATCTATGAGGAGAAGATTGTGAAAGCACAACACACTTGGGCCCTGATTCAACAGAATGCTTAAGCACTTGCCCATTTCTATGCACATGAGCAGTTCCAGCGACAGCTGGTTAAGAGCCAAAGTACTGACTGCTTGAAGGACTGAGCCACAAAGTATGGGTGTTTCACATCCTCTTTTGTAGTCTTTTAATTTCAAGACCATTTTGACTTGAAAAAACAATGCAAGTATTTAATCAGCAAAGTGTTTTATTTTCTGAAATAGTTAAGATCTGGAAATTCAAAGGTCATTACAACTACATCTCTCTACAGCAAACACATCCTTATTAAATAGCTTCTGCTACAGGTGAAGCACTTAAAAATGTCCAGGCAAAGTAGTTACAACAGAAGTATAACAGCAGCCCTGTACCCAGGACAGTGGGATGTGTAGGGCCAGTGGTGATTTCCAGCTGCCATTGTGCCCCAGGTGTAATTGTATGACTGAGGCAGCGGCTGATATTTTTCTGCCCCTCCCTTCCTAAGTTGGCATCCAGGGTGGCCAGCTGTCTTACCCTAGTTATGCTACTGAGTTAGTGTTTCACTACAGTGCTTAAGGCATAAGTTCAAATCCCACTCCAAACTACTGACAAAAACTGCCTCCAGATGTAAACAGGACCCCTGGTTAAGGGTGTCTGGATTTGATTTTAACCACACCACTCCCTTGTGTGACATTAGCTACAGAAAATGAAATGCCTTTTCCAAGCTACCTCAATGGAGTGATGGACTGGAGAGGACCTTTGACCTTAATGGGTGCATCTACTGTGTAGCAGACCAATTAGCTGTGCAGTAAACATCTCCGTGTCTACACATGCAACCCTATTACGCTAGAGTATACTAATTTACTCTGCAACAGGATAGTACTTGTATTTACTTATATCCTGCTGCAGAGAAAAAAACCGCAGTAGCACATGTGTAGATGCTGAAGGGGCTGGCTGAGGCACAATGGTGCTTCAGTGCAGGGGCTGCCTGCTGTCTAGTCCCATGCTGAAGCACCCTCATGCCTCAGCCAGCCCCAGCACAGTACATTGGGCCAGGAGGAGCAGCCCCAGGCTGGCAGGCTGGCCTCTTAGACCTCCTGCCAGCCAGGGCTGCTCCACCCAGGCTCAGCGTACTACAGTCCCAGGCACATGTAAAGAATCCAGATAAGCTCCGGAGTTTATTCACACACATTAATAGATATGCATTAGTAGATGTGCCCCCATATTGAACTTTGAGGTACTGTTTTAAAGAATAAGAGCCAGAATAAATATTGATGCCTCTTATGTTGGGAAACTGAGAGCCTCTTGTACCAGTAGTAAAGGCACAATGACTATTTTACTCATTCTGAAAGCTCAGATTATAAACATCTCATATATGCCATGTAGTACCACATGCATACACACACATACAAGATTTTTTTCTTCTTCAAAAATATCAAAGTTCCTTACATTAAATGTTTTACCCATAGACTTATAAAGGATTTATGTCATAACACCTCTATAACATCTTTATCTTGTTCCACCAGAGCTGGAGATTGGCCAGTTCAGAGATAAATGAAGGCTGGGCAATGACAGTTTCTTATCACATAGATAATGAATCCAGAGTGAGGTTGGAAAGCTAAAAAGGTTCTCCTTGCCTCTTAAATGTTTGGCCACTCTGCTACGATCGTCACCAAAACTCTCTCTAGGCAGAAGGCAGGGTAGGATGACACCTTAGAAACTAACTAGTTCAGAAAGCTAAACTTTCATAGGTGACAGCCTTCTGTCAGATGATATGCTATGCCCTGCCTTCTGCATGACTTCATACTAACATGGCTAACTACCTCTCAAAGTTCTCTCTAGTGGTTTTTGTGATATGAGCAACTCTACAGGCAGAATTGGATTGCACTGTCAACATATTTCATGTAGGTCACTGAGGAGCCATCAAGCAGCCCTTAGCTAGACCCAAAATACCAAACTATGCTGCTGGGTGAAATTCTAATCAGAAGGCGAAGACAAGGTTGTAACTTATATTTGATGTTATAAAGGAAGAGGGAGCATCAGAGAGATGCAAAGAAAAGTGTGATATGGTTACATTTGACAGGGTAGGAAAATGATGTAGGAGATGCTATCTAACTTGCTGAATTACAACTCACTATGACATGGTCCCAGTTGACTATCAATGTGTTTTTATTCCTCACTGTGGTATATGCCACCTGGGAAACTTGTCAAATAATTTGCTCTGACTTCCAAATACATGAAAGGATAATAGCATCTTTTAATCTTGCATCATGACTGATTACCATGGTCTCCTGTATCTTCCTAGAATTCCAATTGCCAGTGCATCCCCATTAATCTAATCACTATAAGAGAAAGCTCCTGACATGGTGATCTTATAACCCAATATGAAATAAGACAAACAGAAGGAGCAAGGAGGACAAAGGTAGTATGGTAAGTTCATATGGATCCACAAATAAGCAACAACACAATTTAATAGGTCTAAATGGTTCTAGAATCTTTTCTTTTTCTCTTTTAAATTAAGTAATAAAATAAACTACCCCCACTGATGAATAATCATCATTTGTTGGCTGAATTCTAATTTTAAATGGAATTTCTTTTAAAAAAAGATAAACGGCCATTAAAACATTTAAATTGCCTTTTCAGCTTGTAAAAGTGTATTTTGAAAAAAAAGATCTAAATTTGGGAGAAACTTTCAGTTGATTTTGTTTCTCTAAACCAGAGGAAAACATCTTTATAATATATACAATAGCTTATCAATGCTTCCTTTTAAGCATGAATGGGTGTGAGCCAATGTGTTTGTTATCTGCCAAAAAAGATGAGCATACTAGATAGAGAATGGATAATTCAGTGTTACAGAAGAAACACGTCTCAGCTGATTACATGTTTTATTCCCTCACTTTATCTCCTACAAAACTAGAGGTCATAAAATTCAGAAATTCTTGAACAAAATAGTCATGTGCAGTTGTGTTATTATTTCTATTCTATTAAACAAAATCCATTTCTTTGTGATATTTTCCCATATTTTACATCTCTAATTACCATAAGAAACAAACTTGCTAGTTCCTTAAACTGAAAATAAACCAGACCACAGGCATAGTTCATGCCTTCAGGATTGCTGAAAGAAGGGCCAAGTGAAGGGCATTTTCCTTGGCTTATTTCTTCATCTGCATATTGTGCCTACTCTTCTTTTCTCCAAATGACACAATTAGATTTTATTACATCCATTTGAATTGCTGTTTTCTTCATCTGGATTGCTTTCTCTGACAAGTACCAGATAATTTAAGCCTTCTTCATTCTTGGTTTCCTCTAAAGCAGTTGAAATAATACTATCTGAATCTGTACACAGAGCATCGCTATCTGCATTTGAAAGAAAGAACAGTTATTATTAATTCAAATACAATATTGGAAGACAAATGAAGTCAAACAACTTGCAGAGAAAGTTTGTCTAGCGACCATAAAAGGAGTAACCAATAGCTTGAATTTATTCTGTGCTGCTACAGCATGTATAGATTACATCCTGAACCAAAGCATTTAGAGATCCTCACCATTATAATACTTTTCATGTGCACCACCTCCCTCAGATAAGAAATGTACCTTTTTTTTTGGAAAGCAGAATACAGAAAAAAAGATGTTTCCAGAGTCATAGCCTAGAGCTGGCTTTTTTATGGAAAGATGGGGTGTGTCTACACAAGATGCTTTACTGTGCAGTAGACAAATCTACTGAGCAGTAAAGCGTCACCATCTACATGTGTGCACCATTTACTGAGCAGTAAATTAATCTACTGCACAGCTGCCTTCTACCTGTAAATCAAGATCACTGGGGATCGGGGCATGGGACTGGAAAGCAGCAGCAGGGGAAGAAGACATTTTCCCACCCCATGCCCCAGTCTACCAACTGGGGCATAGGGCTGGGAAGAAGTAGCCAGGGGAGGAGACATTCTCCCAGCCCTATACCCTGATCTGCTGGTTGGCGCATAGGGCTGGGAAGCAGCAGCTAGGTCTAACACCACTCCCCGCCATGTTCCTCCCAGAAACAGAGGTGCATAGAGCAGATGGAACAGAGTTTAGCAGCAACACCCCAGCTGAGAACCACTGAGGTAAGGTGAGGCAGCACAACAATGGTGGGGTGGCACCAAATTAAAGAAAGTTATGGATAGGTGCCCTGAATCTAAAAATGTAGAGCCACTGGTCTAGATGCCTATTGCTTAAAGATCAAGTGTAAATTGATGCATCTTCCAGCAGATAATAGGAGTGCACCAATAGAGATTTTGGGGGCCGATACCAATAGCTGATTTTTAATGCTGATCCGATTTCTGATACAGCTGCATCCAGCTGGTAAGTCTGTTGTGGTGAAAGGGGAGGGGGGAGGGAAGGGGCATGGAGGGGCAGATAAATGCCTCCCATGGTGAAGGAAGGAGTGGGGCTAGGGTTGGGGCTGGGGCTGGGACTGCCCAGATGGGGCAGGGTGGGGCATGGGATGGTGCCGCAGCTTATCCGGGTAACATGGAGGGTGGCAACTACTGCTGCTGCATGCCCCCCAGGAGGGCATGGAGTGGGCATGTGCCCCCCCAGATCTGTGCAGGGCAGGGTGGGGCAGGGCAGGGCAGGGTAGACTGCAAATGCAGGCTGGGGCCGGGATGGCGTCAGATACTTCCCAGCAGGGGCTGAGCCAGGCAGCACTCGGGGTGGGCAGTGGCAGTGCTGGGAGGGGGGACTATGGTAAAATTTGGGGTTGCTGCAACCCCCCCGTAGCACCACTTCCGCCTGCCCCGAGCACAGCCTACTGCAGCCCCGGCCCCAGCCCACAACTGCATCCTGCCCTTGTTTGCCCGACCCCATGCAGATCCAGGGGGCACACGACCCCCCCATGCAGTCCTGAGGTGCACACAGCAGCAGGAGCTCCCCCCTCCCCACACCCCCGGAGAAGCCACAGCTCCATCCCACACCCTGCCCCGCCCCACCTCACCCTGGCTGGGCAGTGCCTGCCCCAGACCCACTCACCCCTCATTGCAGGGGGCATTGATCTGCCCCTCCACACCCCTCCCCTTCCACCACAACAGATTTACCAGCTGCACGCAGCTCTCCAAACTGCCGGTCTGTGCTCCTCACTGCCTGCATGCTGTGCTGCGGCTGCACGCACACACAGGCATTTATCAGCCAAATTATTAGCCACATCAGTCCGATTTCCAATACAGTCAATTTTCTTTATATCGGTGCTGATCTGATATCAGACCAATGTACTGGTGCACCTTTACCATTTAATAAATGTTCTGCTCTTCGAGGAACAGATTAAGAAACAGCTTTTAGCTATTTCTGATGTCTTATTTGGCATTATTATATTAATTTTGTCTTGTTTACATTTGCACATATGTACAGAACCAATAGTGATGGAAATGACTTTTAAAAATGGAAAAATAATTAAATAGCTAAAAGGTTTGAGTTATTAGTGTTGCTCTTCTGTGGATTTATTCTTAGTAACACATACCTTTTTTATTACACCCCTACTTACTTTACTTCACAACTAGAAAGTAAAACATGTGATATGCAGGGATCTACACTTGAGAATCACAAGCATTGTGCTCTTCTAGTAGGGGACATTCAGTTTATTATGTCACTTCACTGGGGTGCTTTTCCCCCTTCTTTATACTGCAGAAAACTCAAAGCCTTCTGCAATCAATATAGTAAATTAAGATAGATTAAAAAAGAAAAATAGGAATGAGAAACTTAATTTAAGAACTCTGTTGAGGGAGGATGGGGCTTGGGAGACAGAACAAACTGTGTTCACATACTGCAATGATTAGCAGCAAAGAAAAATCATTTGATACTCACTTTGTCGGTTCAGGAATATTATGGCAATATTTAGTCATTCAATCTGTGCTCAGTTTTCACCAATCTCTTTTTTGTTTTTCTTAATAAAGCACTTAATGGAAACCCTGAGGGGCAAGCTGCCTTGGAATTGGCATGTGGCAAAATGTAGAGGGCATGTTTGCAACAAACTCTGAAGACAGAAACCTTAAAATAAGGTCTTCCAAGTAAAACCGGGTATTTTCAGACCAGACATATGCCGGCTGACCTGCCTAAGTATAGAACACTAGAGGAGCTTTCAGATTTGTTTCCTGTATAAGTATCTAGAGCTGATGAGATGATGTTTACACAAATGTGAGTATGAAGTCACTGTGATATTTTTACCAGATATATAGATACATTACTAATTCTTTCCCCAACAGATCTGCAGGATCACAGAATGTACCAAATATTGTGTTCACTTTTAATCTAGTGTTATTGTGTTTACCATTAAACCAAATAATAAAAAAATCATCTTGCAAGTAAACTTCTTGCCTTTCTTTTATCTTTGAGCTCTAGACACATATTAAGGAGAAAGCCTATTTGTAGAAGTTCTGCATACTGTACAATACAATGTGGATAAACTTCCTTTTAACTTTTGGTGTGACATGACGAGTGACAAAGTTACTACAGAACTGGTGCCTTGTCACATTTATGTTGAGATTTTACATGCAACCAAATATGCATGTTCTTCCTTTTGCCTTTGTTTATTCTCCTGTTAGCACAATGGTCCAGGCTCAGACCCTCTAAGAAAATTTAGTACTAGATACACTATACATATAAGCCAAGAAATAAATGTTAACTTATCAAGATATTGAGTAAGGTGATTACCTTTGTTATAGGTCAGCCTATCAGGATAAATAAAGCTAGCCCAGTTAGTTACAGCAGCAACAGAAAAATGGAAGATACACAGCATAGAAAGTGAGGAAAAGTCTTGGCTGGGAAAGTCTAAGAAACCAGAAAAATGTGAGCATCTAAAATAGCACTAATGACCCAAGAAGTCATAAACCAGCAAGAAAACAGCACTTGAATGAGCCTTGAGAGATAATAACTAGCAGGAACTAAAGGGAAAGTAGAGAAGAGGAGAATTTTATACACAGTGTGCGCGTGTGTGTGTTGTTAGTTTCACCATTGCTAAACTTAGGTGATTGATTTACACTAAGCAGAGTTATACATATTAAATGTAGCCATAAAACTTGTGCAATGATCCCCTCAGATTCCACAAGAAAAGCCTAAGTCAACTAAATACTCAAGGAGGAGACTTCCTAGGAACATCTAAATGATGTCTGAAATGGTGCTGGTGATTCAATCATAGGCAGTTATTCCCTTAGGGTATGTCTACATAGTAGTGGACTGCAGTGTAATGTAGAAAGGTGCCTAAGCTAACTTTAACTAAAGACAGGCTTCTGCAGTTGAGAAGCTCTTTGTGGATCTCTATGCTGCAGTTAGGCGGCTTCCAGAGATTCAGCTAACTCACTTAAAGTTAGTTCTGGTATCTCTATGGTATGCTGCAGGCAGCAGTGTAGACATACCCTTGGATCAGGTACTGATCATTTGGGCTCAATAACATGGCATTTTTTGCAAGAGAAGTTAACTGCAATGCCTGCAAGGTGTCTGTCAGAATGTCCTGGCCAAACTACAGTTGAATGGATTCCATTGGACCTACACTAATTCATCTTGCACTTTCCATTGCCAAATTTCTGCAGTCTTTTGTTATTTCCTGTTCCAAATTAACACACCATGCTGTTCAGTGCTGTCAAACAGCTATTGCATTTTATCATGGCCCTTGTTTAAGAATCTGCAACCATATTCCTTAACTACCTTGTAGGCAGTTGTATAATTAGCTGATGTTAGCAAATACTCTGCTGTCTTACGTTAAAAGGTGCAAATTGTTATTATGCTTATACAAAGACTTTCAGTATACTTTACATTTAGTGTTTCTGTACTTTATTTTTCAGAAGCTGACAATATATAAGACAAAAAACAACTAGTGGAAGACATGATTGGTGAACACTGAACAAACAGAACATGGCCTACAAATGTTTTAGGAGCCATCTCTTCAGATGATGCAAATGGGCATAACTCTGTCAGTTAGTGAAGCTATGCTGCTGGTTTACAACAAGGTACTGAGCCCTGTTGGTAATAAAGCTATGCCATGCAAATATATTGATATATATTGCTCTCAGTGGTGCCAGATGACAGAACAAGGAGCAATGGGGTCAAATTGCAGCAAGGGACATTTAGGTTCAATATTAGGAAGAATTTTCTCACTAGGAAGGTAGTAAAACACTGGACCAGGTTACCCAGAGAGGTTGATGAATCTCCATCCTTGGAGGTTTTTATGAACCAACTAGACAAAGCCTTCACTGGGATGATCTAGGTGGGGAGGGTCCTGCTTTTAGCAGGAGGCTGGTCACTAGATGACCTCCTGAAGTCCCTTTCAACCCAAATTTTCTATGATTCTGTGATTCAATATCTAATATCCTACCACTTTATATGGTGAGAATCACTTT